CGTCTTCGCTCAGAATCGTTTTTCTTATACAATGATATTATGATATTATATCATTGAGTTCAAGTTTAATACAATCCATTATACATTGACCCACTTGTAACCTACTGTACAGCAGCAGAGTGACATCCACTTACCCGCCTTTTTTTTTAAATTTGTTTTGTACATATTATTATTTAACAATTAAAAACTCGCAATTTTATATCGTCTTATAAATATGGTATATTTTATTTAATAAAGAGTAAATGGGTGGTGTGGGGGGCGGCTTCGTCCCCCGTGGCTCTGTGTTCTGAAAATTATCCGGACCCTCCCCATGACAAATTCCTAAATACGCCACTGCAGAGACCCCCTCCCCATAACTAGCCTGCACCATCCTCATTCCTTCGATAGTTCTCGAAATTGTTCTCGGGCATCACCGAGTGGTCCTGTAGCTGTTACGACTTACGTTCGAATTCTCTGGCGTAAACACACGCATTCATTCCGTTCGTATTTATTCGCGCTATTTATTTATAACGCGCTTTTAGGTTCACCGCGATCTTTTTACGAGTTACGCGTTTGAATATTATTAAACTATTACTGGGTAGCTAAGCCAGCAATCTTATATCAATATTCAACTACCTATTTATTATATAATTCTATTAAACGAATTTATTACTTTTAAGAGGCCGTCACAGTAGAAAAAAATCGACCGAAAAACATGCTTTCGTACTTCCAATAGTTCTCAGGCCTCGTTAATCGTAGAAACATGGTTTTGGTATCAAAATAATCACGAGAAGTTGTACTAAATATTCTTGGAACAGAATTTTAAAATTTTTTTTCTAACCAATTTTTTTGTAATCTGAAGTTTGTACTATATTTTCATTTTTTTAAAAAATTATATAAAATCGACAAAATTAGATATCGAAAATCTGTTCCAAGAATATTTAGTACAACTTCTCGTGATTATTTTGATACCAAAATCATGTTTCTACGATCAACGAGGCCTGAGAACTATTGGAAGTACAAAACCATGTTTTGGGCAAAAAAAATACGAATTTGCCGTCGTCATGTGCTGCTAGAACGACTACAGCGGCAGCATTCTGAAATAGTTTATCTACCACTACCCCGCGTACATATGCAGCTATACCGCACCATAGGTCAAAACTGGTTATTTTATCGCAGCCGCGCACGGATTATAAATAGCCAAATACGTCGATACGAAAATAATAATTCTGTCAATGAATAATATTATTTTATTATTCGATGTTATAATTCGTATTCTTATTACTAGCGAAGTTTACGCAAAATGGAACTACATAATATTATATCATAAAGTCGTCACCAAATAGCTGGAAAGCGTACGATTTAAACAATTTTTTTTTTCAATTATAGACATTTCTTCTATCAAATTAGCGATTTGATATTCAAGATTTTTTTTAAATTTAAATTAGCGTACCTAATAAAAACCGTCCAAGAAGAAGCAAAACACTTCACTCATGTCATTGTAATTTAGCCCATATTCTTATTGTGCCTCAGGGTACAGATTGTATATTTCATATAAAAAATAAAAATAAATAAAAAAAGGTGGGCAAGTGGGTGTCGCTCTGCTGTACAGTAGGTTACAAGTGGGTCACTGTATAATGGATGGTATTAAATTTGAATTCAATGATATAATATCATTGTATAAGAAAAACGATTCTGAGCGGTGACGGTATGTCAGTCTATGTATAAGACATATTATATACATATCTATGGTATTAAAAAAAAAATTGACCTATAATAGGTACCTATAATAAATTCCAAACTAATCATATCACAATATCCATTAGATACTTATAACGCGTTATACATCAACAAAAACCGTGATACTATCATAGATATATAATAGTACGATTTAGAAGTTTCAAGTACCCACGAATAATATTATTCAATCACAACAAAATAACTAAAATAGTTATTCTAGGTTTTTTAATATGTAATTTCGTCCAAATTTGAATTTAAAATGTCTGTAAAAAATAAGTGTGTTCATATATTTTTTAGATTTTTTGGTTATAGTATGAACTATTTATGAGAACCTTTGTGTTGATTTGTAATCCTTAGCTATAAAAACTGAACATTTTATAATTTATTAATTACAATGATTGATAATTTTCGAGATTTTGATAAATTTTGTCAAAATTTGATCTTTAAATGCTTATAAAAAAAAACTGTGCATATGTATTTTTAATATTTTCAACTGCTATTGTAACAATATATCAGGAGCCTTGTATTAAATTTTTACACTTTTTGGCCCAACAGATAAAACTTGATTGATATTTATAGAAAAAAAAAACTAAAAAAAATTGAAAGCTGTAAATGTCCATAAACAGCTCAACAAGAGTCAAAATATTTTCAAAATTGTATGGTGTATAGAAAATGCTAATTTAAACATTCAGTGAAATTTTCATGTATCTACAGTTGTTCGTTTTTGAATTGCAACAAAATAAGGAAATCGCTACATGAGTAATCGAGTGAAAATCCAATGTTGTAAAAATTTTAATTTCAAACGCTCATAAAAATTTAATTTGACTGTCCGGTAGAGATTTTTTTATTGATAAAGGTAGATAATCTTATAAGGAATCTTGTGTTTCATTTTCAAATCTTAGATTTAAAAAGAAAAATTTTTACGAATTCTTAACTCAAAATAATTTGCTAATTTTCGTGATTTTTCCATATTTTGTCAATTTTTGAACTTTAAATGCTTATAAAAAAAAATTGTGACTAACAATTTTTTTTTAATGCTTTTGAAGGACGAATTAAAATTTATATTTGTTTAGTTTTTTGTTTCTATAAATATTTATAAAATTGTATGTGTTGGGGCAAACAGCTTGAAAATGTAATGCTAGGCTCCTGATATATTATTACAATAGCAGTTGAAAAATAGGGCATGTACCGTTTCCGCCGAAATTTGAAATGGCCGATTTCGCCATCGCCCGTTTTCGCCAATTTAAAAAAGGTTCGATATAATATATTCGATATATATATTTTCCATCAATATACTCCTTGTAAATATTTTGTACTCATAATATGACTTTATAGTCATATTATGACTTTTTAATAATTTTAATTACTGTATTTATTAAAACTAGGTATGACAAAATATTATGTAAATTTACGAATAAGTGACTTTATAAGTTTACTTTTTTTTTATTATATTTATTAAAACTATGAAAAAATATCATGTATTTATTATTTAATTTAAAAAAATGACAGTAGGTACATGAAATTTTTACTGAATGTTTATATAAGCATATTCTATACACCATACAATTTTCAAAATATTTTATATTATTTTGAGCTATTTACGGACATTTTCATTTTCTACATTTTTTAGTTTTTTCTTCTATAAAAATCAATAAAATTTTATCTGTTGGTTAAAAAAGCTTAAAAATTTAATAGAAAGCTCCTAGTATATTGTTTTAAAGGTAGAAGAGAAAAATTAAGAATCCTTAGTCACAATTTTTTTTATAAGCATTTAAAGTTCAAATATTGACAAAATACATAAAAATGACAAAAAATTTGCATTTTCTATACACGATAATATTTTCAAAATATTTTGATTTATTTTGAACTATTTAGGGACATTTTCATTTTCCATTTTTTCTTAGTTTTTTTTCTAAAAATATCAATAAAATTTTATTTGTTGGTTAAAAAGGTTGCAAATTTAATAGAAGGCTCCTAGTATAATATTGTTTCAAAGGCAGATGAAAAATATTAAAAATCGTTAGTCACAGTTTTTTTTTATAAGCATTTAAAGTTCAAAAATTGACAAAATATGGAAAAATCACGAAAATTAGCAAATTATTTTAAGTTAGAAATTCATAAAAAATTTTCTTTTTAATTCTAAGATTTTAAAATGTAATACAAGATTCCTCATTAGTTTTTCCACCTTTATTAAAAAAAAAATTTCTAGAAGAAAGTCAAATTAAATTTTTATGACCGTTTGAAATTCATATTTTTACAACATTTGATATTCGCTCGATTTCTCATGTAACGATTTTCTTATTTTGTTGTAATTAAAAAACGAATGACTGTATATATTTGAAAATTTTACTGAATGTTTATATTAGCATTTTCTATAGGTAAACCATTCAATTTTCAAATTAATTTGACTATTTTTGAGCTGTTTACAGACATTGTCAGTTTTCAATATTTTTAGTTTTTTTTTTCTATAAATATCAATAAAAATGTATTTGTTGGGCGAAAAAGCTTGAAAATTTAATACGAGGCTCCTGATATATTGTTATAATAGCAGTCGTAAAATATTAAAAATACATTTGCACATTTTTTTTTATAGGCATTTGAAGTTCAAATTTGGACAAAATTTATCAAAATATCGAAAATTATCAATCACTGTAATTAAAAAATTATAAAATGTTAAGTTATTATAACTAAAGATTGGAAATTTAAAACAAAGATTCTCATAAATAGTTCATACTGTAACCAAAAAATCTAAAAAATACATAAACACAGTTTTTTTTTACAGACATTTTAAATTCAAATTTGGACGAAATGTTTAATATTTATGTTCTTTGACCCAGACTGACATACCGTCTCCGCTCAGAATCGTTTTTCTTATACAATGATATTATATCATTGAATTCAAAATTAATACCTTCCATTATACAGTGACCTCTAGTAACCTACTGTACAGCAGAGCGACATCCACTTACCCGCTTTTTTTTTTAATTTTGTGCATTTTCTTCAATATTTTTGTCGTTTGGTGTAGATATATATAATAATAATAATCATTTTAGTCAACATTTTAACTTCACAAGATCGTGAAGGTCAGGCTGCTTTTTATGAAATTTGAAATTAATTTTTTAATGTTTTTTAATACAATAAATTCACATCCCCGGTAATAATTTTTTTAATACTATTTATTGCTTAAAATTGGGTATATATTTATATTAAATATTATGTAATAAATATTATGTATATATTAAATATTATATATTTTGTGGTTTTTTAGGTAATCAGTCAATATGTATTTCATCCAAGTACTATTTATAGTCATTTCTTACATCATAAATGTCACTCTCGGATTTATTGCGTACGATTGTGGAGGGTCGAATCTAAATATCACTTCATTTGACAGCTTAGAAGTAGAAAAATGTGATATTCCAACACCAACAGAAACGCAACAGATACAACGAATACAATTATTGCAACACATTGAAACGTATCCAGTTATGTATAAATCATGTTTAATATCTGTGGATTATCTTATAACAAGATGCTCGGCGTTTGAAGATGCGCAAGTGGTGGATGGTGGATACTTTTCTGACATTATCGAACTAGGGAGTGCTCGATGTTCGGAGGTCCATCAAAAACAATCCTATAATTTTCCACTAGGAGGTGTAGTGACAGACTTAAAAATAAACGAAACAACATATGTTTCAAATACAATGGTGGGGTCACTAGATAAGCATGGCAATTGTAAGGGCGCAATTTTTAAATCAAATAAAGGGGAATGGGAAAACGTCGTTGTCCAAGCAAAATTTAAAATATTGCTATCGGAAGGTATGGCTACAGCGAACACTAAAGATAACGTTCTTATACTTCCAACAGGTACAAAACTCAAATTATCAGACAATTACGGCATTGATGCTTTTAAAGGTGAAACCATCTGGTCAATCAGTAACATAAACTGTGAAGAACACGATTTCAGTGTCCTATATGATGGGCCAGCGTCATTAATTACGTCAAATACTATTGATGACATTTCAAATACTTACACTTATATTGTGGAGACTGACAAAATAGTCTTTGCTTTAAAAAAAGTCAAAAAAACCTTCGCCTGCACAGGAATCCCAGTTATTCAGACTGAACATATGCAGTTATTAATTTTAACAGAACCTACATTTTTTAATTATTTTACACGAAAAACTATAACAGCTCAAAACACTGATTTATTAGCCTACATAAACACTAAATTTGTCTATGTCGAAAATTTCTTTAAATCAACGATTACATCGTTGTACAATGATTTAATACTAAAACAATGTGAGCTAGAGAGAAAATTACTAGAGCAACGACTCACATTAGCGTTTTCTAGTCTTTCGGAGTTTGCGTATTTAATGGGCGGTGGACCAGGGTTCACGGCAATAAAAGTCAGTGAAATAATTTATTTAATCAAATGCAAAAAAGTTAACGTTGAAATATCACAAAAAAAAAATTGTTTTAACGAACTACCAGTGTTATACAATAACAAAACATTATTTATGGCGCCCAAAACACATATTTTACAACAATTTGGAACACAGGTGGACTGCAATGTACTTCTACCACCTGCATTCGAATTGGGCGGTGATTGGTTTGCCATTCTACCAAACATACAGGAAATTAAGAAACCACAAAAGCTTAAACCATCCACGTCCTGGACATGGTCGTACAAAAGTCCGGATTTTCTTATGAATGCCGGTATATATACAAAGGACACAATGAAAGCTTTTCAACAGCATATATTGTTCCCGCAAGAAGTGAAAGCTGCCACAAATAATTTAATCAGACAATCTATGGGATATGATACGACTAATCAAGGTCTGCAATTTAAATATTTGATAGACGAAAACACGCTTGGAAAAATGGTAGAAGATAAGCTATTTAAATTATGGGGTTGGTTTACGACAATTGGAACTTTTGTGTCTGGGCTAATGGGTATATTCTTTGTTGCAAAATTGATATTAACACTTGTTGACACAGGTATTAATATTACTTTTTTATATCAAACCTTTGGGTGGAGTACAAAGCTTCTAGCGGGATTTTTTTCTAGCATTACTCATAATCTATTACTAAGGTCTCATAAACACAATAATTACACTAAAAATCAAAAGTTTGATGAAGACTCTTTAGAAAGAAAAAATGTTCAGCGTCATAATAATAAAGTCAATATTTATCCAAATTTAATGGTTTAAATCCATCAAAATTAAAAAATTAAAAATATTTAATATTAAATATTTGCACCCATTTTTATTTATTATTTTAAAACTAAGTAATACAAATATTTGTATCATATTTATTTATTAATATATTTATTTATTTAACTTGTATACCTACAAATTAATTTTACATGGGACTATAATTGTTTTTTTACTACATCGCAAAACAAATATGTAAAATTCTAAGGGCATAATATTATTTATTATATTATAATAAATTGTCATTAATCTAAATGTTTTGTTTCAATTAACTATTATATATAACAAATGTGGTCTGTACATAATTTAATTTTAATTTATATACATTATATGATATTATGATCAATGAACATGTTTAGTTTATACAGATTGCTTTTTTTACATAGGTACTACAAATTGCAATTATATAATTAATATATTATTTTATTTATATTTATTTAATAAACATTATGGACAACATCAACTTCATATTATATGTATTATATGTTTAAAATTAAAATAAGATTATATTATATATTATATTGATGTCAATATTAACTATATAATCAAAACTATTTAAAATGTAGCTAATATTTATTTAATAGATTAAATTATCGTACAAACATTGCTTCATGTCACTTATAAGTTACAACGTAAAATACGTTACACTTTTACTAAAAAATCTATTTAATTCTAATGAAATTATTATTTTACTTGTATTTTAAAAAGTAGATAATTGGGTTAGAAATATAAATCGAGTTATAGAATATAATAATTGTTATGCTTAATTCATTGGTTAATATTTTTATGCAAACAGGAGCTTTAATTAAAAAGTAGGTTTGCGACGTATGAGCTAGGAGGCAGCGCACCATGTAGAATTCATAGGCGACAATTTACGCAACGGTCTGTAATGACGCGAAACGTCCTGTACGACTGTCCGTGAAATAATAATGTACCTCTCCCGCGTTAAACAAGCGGGCCGCGTCGCGTACACGATGGGCGTGGTTACGGCCTACCGCGACGGCGGCGATACGGCGCACAACGCCATCTCTTGAGCGTTGCATTCGTTTCACTTTTACTAGGACGGCCTCTTAACGATTTAAATTATCGCACAAAAATTTATTATTTTTATTATATCTTACTACTATACTTATTCTATTAGGCTAGCCTATTACGATTACTTTTATTCCGAATACTTGACGTCAACTATTTTTATTCAATAAGGTCATCTACTGCCTTTTAATTCAAAATCTATTTTTCTTCAATATATCAACTTATATTTCTTCAAAAATGATCTATATCATTTAATTAACTTCTTTATTTCAATTCAATTACCTTTGTAAAAATTATCCATCAATTATTTCAAATTATTTCCATATATATTTATTCAATTGCTACATTCATAACAAATCCTATTAATTTAAAGAAACAGTGTTTTATTTTTTTTTTTTTTGATATTGCTGACTAGCAGATAAAAAGGTGCAAACACTATTTTAGTCACAGCCAATAAATTTAGTAGTCTTACATATCCGTTCCAAAAACTTGAAATAATGAAAATACATTTTTAATCATTCAATCCATATTTTAATGAATTATTTTTTATCGTCCTTCAGCTGTTACGTTCGAATTCTCGGGAGCAAACACTTATAGTCGTTTAATATGATACCTACTCGGATGTACGGATGTACCATGTAGTCACCACTCACCAGTGGCGTACTGGCGTAGCGTGTGTGTATGTATACTATGTACAACAACTATTTCAGTATCTTATAATACTACAATAGTATAATATTTTGTGGATTATCTTCATAGTTCATTGTGATTGTCGATTGATTTTAATTTTTCATGATTTATCCACAACACTACGGCCGCGCCGCGTTAAATTCGTTAATACCTGAATACCTCACTATGTTAGTAGGCGATTGCCTACGGATACGACCATACGGGTACAGACGTACAGTGACAGTTATTTATATACCTACTTTATCGATAATATCAATAACAAAACATAGAACGATCGTAGACCTTCGCGGTCGTGTACCTACCTACTCGAGTACTCATCACTCGTATATTATATCGTTTATTGTCTATATCGTTTATATCGTCTATAACGTTTATATCGTTTATATGTCTAAGTAAAGTTCAGCAAATAAACCTATAAAAAAAGGTGGGTAAGTGGATGTCGCTCTGCTGTACAGTAGGTTACAAGTGGGTCACTGTATAATGGATGGTATTAAATTTGAATCCAATGATACAATATCATTGTATAAGAAAAACGATTCTGAGCGAAGACGGTATGTAAGTCTAGGTTTAAGACATATTATATACATATCTATGGTATTAAAAAAAAATTGACCTATAATAAATTCCAAATTAATCATATCACAATATCCATTAAGTACTATTATAACACGTTATACATCAATAACAAACCCTGATACTATCATAGATATATAATATAGTGTACTTTAGAAGTTTCAAGTACCCACGAATAGTATTAATTATACACTCACAACAAAATAACTAAAATAGGTATGCTAGGTTTTTGATTATGTAATTTCGTCCTAATTTGAACTTAAAATGTCTGTAAAAAATAACTGTGCTCATATATTTTTTAGATTTTTTGGCTACAGTATGAACTATTTATAAGAATCTTTTTTTTAAAATTTCAATCCTTAGCTATAAAAACTGAACATTTTATAATTTATTAATTACGATGATTGATAATTTTCGAGATTTTGATAAATTTTGTCAAAATGCAATCTTTAAATGCTTATAAAAAAAAAACTGTGCCTATGTATTTTTAATATTTTTCAATTAATATTGTAACAATATATCAGGAGCCTTGTATTAATTTTTCACACTTTTTGGCCCAACAGATAAAATTTTATTAATATTTATAGAAAAAAAAAACTAAAAAAATTGAAAACTGAAAATGTCCGTAAACGGCTCAAAAAGAGTCAAAATATTTTCAAAATTGTATGGTGTATAGGAAATGCTAATATAAACATTCAGTGAAATTTTCATGTATCTACAGTAATTCGTTTTGTAATTACAACAAAAAAAGGAAATCGCCACATGAGAAATCGAGTGAATATCCAATGTTGTAAAAATTTGAATTTCAAACGCTCATAAAAATTTAATTTGACTTTCTTATAGAATTTTTTTTTTTGATAAATGTAGGAAATCTCATAAGGAATCTTGTATTACATTTTCATATCTTAGATTTAAAAAGAAAAATTTTTATGAATTTCTAACTCGAAATAATTTGCAAATTTTCGTGAGTTTTCCATATTTTGTCATTTTTTGAACTTTAAATGCTTAAAAAAAAAAACTGTGACTAACGATTTTTAATATTTTTCATCTGTCTTTGAAACAATATAGTAGGAGCCTTGTATTAAATTTTCAAGTATTTTTACTCAACAAATAAATTTTTATTGATATTCATAAAAAAAAAAACTAATAAAATTGGAAACTGAAAATGTCCCTAAACAGTTCAATATAAATCAAAATATTTTGAAAATGTTATCGTGTATAGTAAATGCAAATATAACCAACCACTGAAAATTTCATGTATCTACGGTCATTCGTTTTAAAGTTACACCAAAAACCAAAATCGATTTTTTGGAAAACCGATTTTGCGTAAAAATTCCCGTTTTTCCTTAATTTTTATTTTGTTTTTCCCCGCGCTTTTGAAAACTACTGGGAAATTTAAATTTTGACCTCCCCAATGCACCAACGATATTCACTTTCCAATCGAACAAGATACTGAAGTTGAAAATCGAAGCATTATTTCGACTACTTATCGTGTACACAGACACACAAAAAAAAAATAAATAAATAAAAAAACACACATCATTGTAAAATCAATACATTCATCGTTTCACTCAGAATCTAAAACGTATAGATATATTTGTCAGTAGAGTTCAGATAATACCTAAACCTATATTAAAATTGTTGAGATAGAAGATTTGATTTTCCTTCTAGGTTCCTCTGGTAGACAATTGTATTGAAGTGCCACTCAGTGAAAATTACTTAAAATATGCTCTGGCAGTACCTATATATCGAAGGGCTAGCATCAAATTGCTACTCAAAAACTTTATCGGGCCCGCGGACAAAATAAAAAAAGTAAAAACGATGTACGTTCTATTGTTCTATAATAGTGTCGTAATTTATCATTTTTGTTCATTCGTTTTTACCAACTTCATCAATTTTGATGGCCCACTAACAATTTCTAGATTCCTAGTGTAATAATGTGGTACACTGGTACTTATATCAAATATATTAATTGGTGACCACTGTTATGGTCTATAGCAGCGGTTCTTAACCTGTGGTCCGGGGCCCCTTGGGGGTCCGCGATACTCATGTCGGGGGTCCGTGGCAGCCTCAACACATAACATACATCAATAAGTGACAGAGTGCATTATTACAATACTATTGGATTATTATTATTTTTTTCATATATAATAATATGTAGATTCTACACCAAATAATTTTATTATTAGTATTTATTAAGTAGGTAATCAGTTTTTCTTGTTCATACTGACGCGTTAGTAGCAAGTAAAATGTACAAGCACTATAATAGCGACCAGCAGTGGATATTTTTAGGAATTATCAATGGGCGACATTAAAATAAAAAATTCACGCAACATATTATGAGCTTATAAAAAACTTTTCAGTATTAATTATATTAATTAATAAATAATAATTTATAATAATAGTTATTATAATATTGGTTATTCATAGAAATTTACAGAATATTAATAATATTACACCAATACCATTGATTATAAATACTATACTATTTTTACTAGTATTTATAATCAATGGTTATACCTACGTTATACTTATACGTCTCATATTATGCTAGTATATAGGTATATTTCATTTAGGATTATTGTATTTTGTAATATATTATATTATTATCATTATTGAGAATAGGTACTGTATTTAGTATAATTCCAAGCACAAAATATCATATTTTAAATTATTTTATACTTAGGTACCGAAAATGACGA